CCAATGGACCCAGAATGTGATCAGCAACACCGGGGTTGTACATGGAAATGTTTAGGAGGGTCATCAGGCCTTCCACACGATCCTGAACTAACACTGGAAACAGTTCTGGAAGACTTACAAATTCAACATCCTGGAGGCTGTAGGGTGATTTGTGTGTCATCATGGCCAGAAGTCTCACTAGAACCACTCAATTCTTCATGGAAAGCACTGTGGCCATCAGTAGTCCATGATTTGCAGGGGATTTCAGGATGACACAGAGTTGGACCAGGGAGATTTGTGTCCATTGGTCAGATCATTGGGCCTTGAAGTGGAGGATGATGATGTCGAAGAGCTTGTGATGTCTCATGAACAGGGAACTTACTCTAGATGACTAGCAGCAACTGGATGATGGTAGAGGCTGACAACTGTGGTGGAAAGGAAAGTGACTGACCATGTAGTGAAAAGCACAGAGAGTTGAAGATGTGATTTTACTACTGGGAGAAGTTCAGGAAGCTGGCTGAGCACCAAAGATGTGGAAAAATCTGAACTAACTTTGTTGTGTCATGTTGAGGACACAATGGTCTCCCTTCTTTAAACATATGTTAATATTAGTAGGAGATGCCCCACAGACCTAATTGACACTTTCTTCAGTAAAGGCAGAGACAATATGCTAGCCCTCAGCCTTCCCTTCAGGAGAGAAGATGTTCCTGCTGGAGAATCTGTCGGTCAGAGGTTCCTGACATTTTCATGGAAGGTGACTCACCTTCCAAGCTTGATAAATGCTTCTCCTCCACCTCTCTTCTCTTCTCCTCCTCCACCTCCACTTCAAATTCACATCAGCATCATCAGCCAGGAGCCTTCTACATACACACCTCAAAGTAAGTGTGCTTTTCTACCTATTTTGTTGAATTTAGGCAATTTTAGGTGACTGGAACCAAATACCCAAATACCCATTTGAAACAATGGTTTTGGGTTATGAGCAACCTTCTGGAACTGATTGTGCTCGTTAACCGAGGGACTTCTGTATGTATGAAAGCATTATTTATCAATATACACATGACAATAATTTGCATATTGAAAACTATAGTTAGCATGCAGGGCAGTAGAAATGTTAAAAACAATCACAGTGTGTTCAAAAGGCTGCGACCCTGCAATAGGACATCCAATGAGAAGTCCATTATTGAGAGAGTTTAGAGTTATTTACTAAAATAATTGTAAACACCATTCTGGTACAGTACTGTACATAATGCCCTCAGATTCCTGTCAGTATCTTAGCAGTCTCTGATGCTGCAAAAAAAAATATGTAATTTTGGGGTTTTGGCTCAGTATTCCAAAGCTTGGTTAAAAAAAAATCACAATTTTGAATTCAGGTACATAAAGGCATCGTAAATTTGAGTTTCCCTGTACCAAAATTTCCGTTGTTCTGGACATCTTATACAGTAGTTTGACCAGTAAATTGTTGCACATTGTTGTATCATCTTCCATTTATGACTAATCTAAATTACAAATTTGGAGATTTTTACCAGGATCTGAGTTGCCGTATTTAACTGCATGTAGGACACACAGCCATATAAGACCCACCCTCATTTCAGCAGGGAGTATTTTGTAAAAACTTTTGTGTGGATTTTCCTCCTGTAGCCATAGTTTTCATAAAATAATATATACATTATCAGTAAATGTGAGGAATAAATAAAAATAATACCAATAAATAAGTTACAACAAAAAAATAATGTACAGTCATCCCTTGGTTATAGCGATTTTCGTTATCACGCCTCCATCAAAATCTGCACACCTGCTGTTATAGCCCATTTTTCAAGCTGAGAATTTCGTTATCACGCAGTTGCCTCCAGGCGTTTTTACCCATTTGCTTCACCTACATCTATTGAGGATAAAATCTTTCACCTACAAATTGACAATACAGTCAACCCTGCTTACACGGTCCCACATTCCGCGTTTCCACGTTTACGCAGTACCCTGCCGAAACCGGAATGCTCACATTCAGCGATTGCGTGTACCCTTTCTGGCGAGGAGGCTGGCGAGCCGCGCCATTTTTGGATCCAAACCTCCTGCCATCTCTCCCGCCCTCCGCCATGTTGTGTAGCGCTGAGCGAAGTGCGCTAAAGGTCGCCCAGTCATCAAAACATTACGAGTTCTTCACCGCCCCCACCACAGCCAGCCCAAGTCAGTGATAGTGATAATTATAGTGAGGATATGGACTTATATGGACTTTGAGGGTTTTCACAAAGAGGCCCTGCAAGCCTCTGTGGTGGATAGTGATACAATTGATACAAGTGATACAGGTGAGGGCCAATAATCTGCCCTCTGCCTGGAACCAACCACCCATCCCGTGTGCCAGCCATCTTTTCTGCTAATGTAAGTGTTAAAAACCTAATATTATTGATATTTCTCTTATATTATGTGTGTGCATACCATCATAAAATTAAAGTTATTTTTACTACCGTAGGTATTGTGTGTGAAAAAGTGAAGTTTGGGGATTCGGGGTCTCTATTTCAATTAATCCCATATGTTATGTTGTTCACTTTCTGCGTTTCTCACTTTCCGCGGTACCCTGTGGGTTGAATTAACCACATGAAGTGAGGGTTCACTGTAACATATTTGCTGTAATAAGACATATCTAAGTTGCCTCAACAATTGCAACCCCAGTTGCAATTTCAAATTCTGTGTCATTACTAAGGAATAGCAGTCTTGGATGCACTCTAAGATTGAGAGAAAACGGAGGACTCAGGCGTCCTGAAGCAATGAGAAAACGGACTTCTCAGACGGGGGACTCAAATAAAGAATGCATAGCTACATGTTTTGTGGACTACAGTATTGAGCGTACCCTTTTCATCACTTTGTAATAAACCTAGCCATGCCTGTGTGTGTTTATAATCCTTACCATAACATTATCTATATATTTAGGCCGAGAATTTAGTTATCACACAGTTGCCTCCAGGTGTATTGTTACCCCCTTGCTTCACCTACATCTATTGAGGATAAAATCTTTCACCTACAAATTGACAATAACACACTTGCTGGATGAAAATGGATGGAGGTAACAAAACTTGAAAGCGGTTGTAAAAACACAAGCACTCACACATGCCACTCAAACTGACAGACTTGACACTCACTTACTAGATAAGTTTTACCAACCATAAAGACAGTTGAAGCTTTCAACATCACTCACAATGGATCTTGAATGTTCCAACTGTAATCGGACATATCTAAGTTGCTCAACAATTGCAACCCCAGTTGCAATTTCAAATTCTGTGTCATTACTAAGGAATAATGAAGTCTTGGATGCACTCTAAGATTGAGAGAAAACGGAGGACTCAGGCGTCCTGAAGCAATGAGAAAACGGACTCCTCAGACGGGGGACTCAAATAAAGAATGCATAGCTACATGTTTTGTGGACTACAGTATTGAGCGTACCCTTTTCATCACTTTGTAATAAACCTAGCCATGCATATGTGTGTTTCTGATATTTACCATAACATTATCTATATCTTTAGTGGGTCTAAATGGTCGTAAAATGGGAAAATTGGGGTTGGGTCTTGGGTGCCTGAAACCAATTAGAATAAATCCCCTAGGTTCTGTACTTTCGTTATCGCGTTTTTCGTTATCACGCGGCGGTCCCAACTAGGTGTGATAACCAAGGGATGATTGTACTGTATTACCAAACTCCCTGGTTCACCACAGCATCAGACGCCACCTCCGCCGATTCCCTGGCAATGTCGCCCCACACATCACGCCTCCTCTCGCTCCACCACTGAGCCAGCCAGCTAACTCGTGTGCAAAGAAATGTATTTTCCCTTTATGTGTTTACCCTTAGGGCAATTATTTCTTTTACTTTTTCACAATATGTATGTAGGATGGTGTGTGCATGTAACTGAGTAAAAATAAATGAAGAAAGTTATGTATATCTACCCGAAAATATGAGATGAAAGATAACCATAACACCTGACAGCTTGGCCCAGTAGCCTCAGTAATGAGTCTAACCTGGCTACAATGCACCCAGCAATGTTAACAGAAGCAAATGTGAAAAGAAAGATATATGTAAATATTTATTTGTATCAGGTAATTGTGGATTAAAAAATAAATGTTACAGGTATCGCATTAATAGATTGTAATGTAGAGTTCATAAATAGTTACTGCTGAGCTACCTCTGAAGAGTTGGGTGTCTGCCATATGGATGTTAATTGTCTCAGGTTGTTATCATCATCAGTACAGTAGTTATAAATCAAGTTTTTCTATTTACAATAATTTTTTTATATTAAAAATATTAATAATGTATTTAAGTAAGCAATAACATACTTTTAATTCTGGAGTTGGGTTATGCAGAATTTAGCCTACTGGAGACAGCATACAACAACTGGGGGATTCATTAGCTTACGGGAGACCTCAACTTTACATATAGGACACAGGCTGATATTTTGAGCCATTTTTCAGACAAAAAGTCGTCTTATATATACTATAAAATACGGTATATTGTACACTAGCAAAATTGCCCACCTTTGCTTGGATTAAGTATATACTGTACAGTATATCCTTGAATATCGGAGTTTGCCCTCCCCGACACAGGAACCAATCCTAACTTAACCCAACCTACCAGAACCTAACTCAACCTACTCTAACCTAAACTAACTTTGACTGTCATAGTTTGCCCTACCTGACATGGGTAACCAATTGCCGTGGCGATATCTCATTCAAGGAAGATTTTTGGCTTTTACCCAAGCTACTTGGAGGTCCACGGTCAATAGAAATACAGTACCAAGGTGCACAACCTTGGGATCCATGTAATATGTGTATAAAGTTTTTGGTCTCTAACTGCTTCTGTTTTGGAGCTAAGACTGGAACAGGCACTCACAGACATGTCCTTTATTAAAATAGAGATTTGGCTCTGTTAAACAGTCATGACCATTATAAGGAAAACCAAGTTTTAAAATAAAGGTAATGAACAGGAACTAGCAGCATAATTATGGTTACCACTACTGTAGGTAAATATAAAAAATGCAACATACATAATCCTGTAAGTTCCTGGAATAAGATCAGTGAGTTGTAATGTTGGTCCAGTTTGATCGGAGAGTTTGTAGCCTAATGGAGCAGTTACCATCTCCCAGTGGTAAGATTCAATATCATCATCATCATCTGTGCTTCCCGAGCCATCGATAATGACTCCAGAGGTTGGAAGCTTAATTTCTTGAGAAGGTGGGACGATGACCGCTTTGGGAGGTTGGTTGATTCGCTTTGCTGTAAAAGAAAGTCAAAATGAAAATTGTATTTATAAGCAATGATAGAAAGTCTCCCACCTAAATTAATAAAAAATAATGCATTTTTTAACAAAATATTTTTTTCTCTAAATAAGTTTTCAGTCAGACAAATTTAGGTTCTCTGTATCTTATCATCAAAATACATCTGCACATAAAACTGCACAAGACTAGTAAAATTATTACAGTAATACAGTAAATGCCACCAATTAGCAGAATAAACTTTGAAAGATCTGATGGATTGCAAATAACATGGACTGAAAATTAATTTCCGTATATCTCGGCCTATAAGGCGTCGGGGTGCATAAGACGGCCCCCCAAATTTCCATTTAAAAAGTAGCTTTTGAGCTCTATTCGCTGTATAAGACCAGTAGGGGGCAGGGAAAAAACACTTTTATTTGAGTTGCAGGCTGCACTTTTCAGGCATCGTTTGTATGGCTGTAACAAACGCCTGTGCAAAATTTCATGCCATTTCATGCATACTTACCCTGCCGCATAGCGAACGACTTTTTGTCAACTTATAGTGTATACTAAAAATTAGGTGTCATTTAATGTTTTCCAGGATAATGATAAATTTTACATGGGTGACATCGATTTAATCACATGTTATTTTACAGGTACACATTATAGAAAATCATTACAAGTTCATATTGAAATTCTTTTTGTGCGGAACCTTGGCATCATTTTCCTAGACAATAATCTTTGCCTAATATATCTCTCTCGATTATTGTCCCGTCACTTCAGTGCAAGCTTCAGTCATCACTTTTATGCCTCTCGACGCTTGAGTGCTGTTTGGCCACTTGGGCACCACAAATGGTGTCTCAAGAATGTCATTAACCTGTAGATTTGACAGAGAAGCAATGTAAGGAGGCTCAGTCTTGAGTTCATTCCTCCAGTTAATCATGGAATGATAGTTTTTGCTTGCCACTTTAGTTTGAGTCACCACCTTTCTCATGTTGACTACAGGAGCACATCCTCATTCCCATCTCCATCTTTACCCTCCTCATCAGTATAGTTTAACAAATTCTCGTCAACAGCAGCATCAGAATCTTCCTCCTCCTCTTCAGATCTGCCAGTGCATTCTTCCTTTTGCTGATTCTCTCTCTAATTTTTCTTATCATTGAGACAGCTTTTCTCTAACAGTCATGTCCTCATCTGCACACATACCAAGAAGAAGTTGATCTGTGTGTAGGCAGTATGCATTTCTCTGGACAGCCTTCTTCACTATCGTGTCCTCCTCACTATTCAGGTGTTTCATATAGCAGGGGACTGGAATCGTTCCTTGAGCGTGTGTTACGTAGGGTGTATCTTGATGTAAAACCACATTGGAGCACTGAACTTATTATTGTAATGACAATTCTTTTCAACTCATGGCTGGGTCTTGATGTTGCTACATACAGCCTGAGTTCTCATAAGGTGTTCCATGACACACAGGGAGGACCTGGCTCAATAGCAGCCAAGTCATCTTCAACAACACCTGTGATAACTCCTTTACAAATCCTATACAGGTATTTCTGATCCCAGGACAGATCTCCCACTTCATCATTAAACACAGGGAAATCAGGAAACTGACTGGCTGGAAGGCGACAACTGGAAGCTCAGACAAAGACTTCTATGATCTGCTTTCCAATGGGACCACGCCAATGCTCAGGACCACTTGGTTTACCATCATAGTGATAAACTTTGCGGAAAGGCAGCTCATTTCCGTGAAGCTGACATATGAAATAATGGGCGGGTGACCAAGTAACATTTCAAGATGATGAATGACTCCATTTTCTGATCCTACATTTACATTGGTTCCATCACAACCAACACACACAATGGGCTGCTGGGTTAGATTTTTCTCCACCAGAAACCGTGAATAGTTTTGGCAATCTGCTTTCCGTGTCCAGTCTTGGGAGTCACATGTGTGAGATATTCATTGCCAGGCTCAACCATGATGACATAATGATCTTTCACCATCATCCTGAACTCTATTTCTCGGTCTTCTCATTCTTTATCATCACACGGTGGCGGTCTTCCTACCATCAAAATAGAGTGGCGTCAAATTATCTAAACTAGCCATCTCAATTTCTTGCCTCTTAAATCGGTATTTTTGTCTCGCATCCCGCAGCTTATGTGGTCCAATAACCTGACTCTTGTCATCCTTTGTGATAATGCCATAGTCAGTTAAGGTGGCAGTAGCAATGGCAGCTCCAGCATAATCACTAATCAAGTATCGGTCACAAGACAACTTAAATGAAATAAGAGATATGAAAAAAAAGTTGATAAACACTGAATAGAACATTGCACCGCCACAGCGGCTGTTTGGCTAGTACTGCAGGTAAATTTAAAAATTTCAGTAGAAAATGCGGCAGACTAAACCTCGACATATCAGCTTCAAATTTGGCATGGAGTCTTAGATATGTACTGTATAAGGAACAATGCCTGAAGAGTGCAGCTTTGAGCAAAATTTCACTGCCCCCTAAAGACCAGTACCCCAAATGTGACTTACCCACTGACTCAGTAGTCCTCTACCAACCATCCTTGGTTTTTTAAAATAAGGCCAATTCACTTCAAGTAATATCATCAAATGTTACCCGCTGGTGTAGTGTAAACACTAGTGACGTCCACAAGCATCTGCTATTTACGGTATGGAACTGATAATGTTAATGGTAAAATTTTTCCATTTACTTGAAATGGATTTACCGATTTATTTGTTTATTTATTTATTTATAATATACTGTAACATATCACACTGCAAGTATTTTCTTTAATTTATACACTTAGCCATACGGGCGATCATTGGTGGAAGTGTTACCTGCGTCTCAGTGGTGGGACTGTGTTCCCTGTTTATACAACAATACCACCGTATTCTAATTGTGTTGTTTCATTAGGATTTGAGTGAGAAGGTTACGTATATATATATATATATATATATATATATATATATATATATATATATATATATATATATATATATATATATATATATATATATATATATATATATATATATATATATATATATATATTTATATATCATATAATATATATATAAGATATGATATATATATATATATATATATATATATATATATATATATATATATATACATACACAGTTGGTCCTCACATTACGCGGTTAATGTAACCCGGAGGGTCCCGCGGAAAGTGAGGAATGCGTTAAGTGAACAAAAGAACATATGGGATTAATTCCAATAGAAACCAGCCCGACCCCCAAACTCCACTTTTTGACGACACATAACTATGTTGTAGTAAAAATTTTATCTTAACTTTATGATGGTATGAAAAAACAAGTAATATAGAAGAGGTTAGGTTAGGAAAAATAAAGGTTAACATAGGAAAAATAAAGGTTACGTGAGAGAAACTAAAAGTTAGGTGGAACACTTACGGTAGTAGAAGAGATGGGTTGGCATACGGGGATGGAGGCTGGTTCCGAGGCAGAGGGCAGATTACTGGCCCTCAGGTGAATCACCATTACTAGGTGAATCACCATCACTGTCACTTACAGTTGTCAGGGCTTCCCTGACAAATCCCTCAAAGTCAACTTCACTGTCACTATCACTGGCTTGGGCTGGCTGTGGTGGGTTGCGGGCGAAGAACTCGGTTATGCTTTTTTGACGGCTGGTGTTTATGTTGTCTTGGTACACCGTGATGTACGGCTCCATAGCCTGCACCAGCCGGGTATGGAAGACTTCATAGCGGTCATCGTCATTGTCGCGGGAAAGGAAGGACTTCATTTTCTCTGCACACTCTATGGCACACTTAATATCACTATGACTTAAACTGTGTTCTTCGGAGAATGACGCACCTTCTTCCTCCTCTTCACTGACGTGTTCTTCTTCCAACATCTCGTCGGCAGTCACTTCAGGATCTCTGATCACCTCCAGGATGTCTTCGTTGGTGGTCTCGGAGAAGCCTTCAGCTGTAATATTGAGCAAAGCTTCTCTGGCAAGGTCCACTGCTATTGCAACAGTCTGAACCTCACCAGTCACAGGTTCACTCCTCCTCTCACCTGGTATGCCATGCAACACATGTCTCCATGCGTGACGAATCGTAGCAATAGTCAGCAGATCCCATGCCTCCACCAAGAAGTCTACAGCTTGTTTAACGTTAAACTTCTTCCAAAATTGTTTGACGAGAAGTTCTTGAGTCACCACCTCTTGTTCCTTGTCCTCGTCGCTTTTGCTCTCGCTGTCGGTGTCACCCAGCTTACGCAACTCATCCTTGGTGTTGGTAGAGTCGTTCAGGAGCTTGAACTTCTTTGCAGAGTACGCAGCTTTCACATTGCAAATCAACTCCTGGTCCATGGGCTGGATTAATGACGTAGTGTTGGGAGGAAGGAAGACCACTTTTACGTTGGGGTGACGATCCATAAGTAGGGGCGAGTGTCCAGGTGCGTTGTCAAGGAGCAACAAAATATTGAATGAAACATTCTGTTGCTCGCAGAATTTCTTCACGTCGGGAACAAAACAGTTGTCAAACCAGAAGAGGGACAGAGAAGAGGACATCCACGCCTTACGTGCGGTTAGCCAGTGGACATTAAGCTTGTTCATGTCCATATTCTTGTAGGCGTGCGGCTTGCGGGCTGTGTGAATCACCGATAACTTTGGTTTACAGGTACCGGAGGCATTGGTGGTAAACAGGACGGTGATGCGTTCCTTCTGCAACTTCCGACCCCTTACCTTGCTGGCAGACTGGACAACGAAGGTCTTGGAAGGTAGCTTTTTCCAGAAAAGACCAGATTCGTCCATGTTAAACACCTGGTCGTCAGTGTACTGTCCTTCCTCCATAATCTCACGTAAGAACGGAGGAAAATCTCTAGCCGCCACACGGTCAGCACTCGCTTCCTCACCACCAATGTTGATGTTGGTGATCGTGTTCCTCTTCTTAAACCTATGCAGCCAACCAGAGGAAGCATTGAAGGGTTTGGGCTCTGCAATTCCCAGCTTACGTGACACTGCTGCGTATAGCTCACGT